CCCCCCCCCCCCCCCCCCCCGTCTCACAGGCTGCGCGGCAGGTGCAGCTCCTGCGGGCGGATCTGGCCGCCCTCCAGGCCATGAAGGCGCCGCCACACCAGGCCGATGTCGCGCAGCGCCACCGCCTGCAGGCGGGGCGGGGGCGCAGGCCAGAGTCTCCATTCAATGAAAGGTGCAGGCAGGCAATCGGGGGCAACGACTGAGGTCGCCGCTCCGCCAGCCGGCAAGGGAGCTGCCGCAGCAGAAGTGGCGCAGGCGCCGCCCGCCGGCCCGCCGGCCGCGGGCCGGCCGGCCGCCCGCCCACTCGCGCCGCGCCGCCGCATCTCACCTCCTCTAGAGTGCCGCACCGCGTCAGCCCCAGCTTGCGGGTGGCCCGCCCCGCATACCCAGGCTTGGCCTCAAAGCTGTTTGGGATGGAGAACACGGGCTCATACCTGCAACACAAGAGAAGGAAGGGGCAGTAGCGGTGCAGGCGGCGCTGTGTCTGCCCACCTGCTGCCACGTGGGCCGCTGCCGGGCGCAGCCGTGCGCTGTGGCGCACATGCGTGTGTGTGCACACAGACCAGAGCAAGCGGCCCGGTCAGCGCGGCCCTGCCCCCTGGCCCCTGACACCCCTGGCCCCTCCCCTCCCCGCCCCCACCTGGGCTGCCCCCGCGCTGTGAGCTTGCGGTGCACCCCCAGAGGCAGCAGCTCATCCCCTGCCTCCGGCCCGAAGGCAGCCTGCCAGCCCTCCTCCTCCTCCTCCTCCTCCTCCTTCTTCTCCTCCTCCCTGCCGCCGCATGCTCCGCGGCCGCGGCTCCCGGCGCCCCCCCCTGCGGCCTCGGGCGCAATCGGCTTCACGGCGGCGCTGCCGCCGCCGCCTGCCGCAGCCGCGGCTGCAGCCGGGCTGTGCGGCAGGGGCACAAACCGGACGGGGGTGCCTTTGCGCCGCTTCCTGCTGGGTCCATCCTGCTGCTGCACTTGCGCCCGGCCTTGGACCTGCTGCTGCTGCTGCTGCTGCCGCCGCCGCTGTTCTGCTGCTGCCTGAGCCACGCCTGCCGCCTCCTGCTGCTCCCGCCTGGCTGCCTCGCCCGCCAGCGTGTCGGCCAGCTGGTGCAGCTTGCCGCTGTCCCGCAGCCGCCGGGCCAGCGCCTGCCACAGGTTGTGGTTGGAGGCGGCGTGCAGCTGCCGCATCAGCTCCGCATCCGCCCGGTACCTGCAGTACCAAAGGCAGCAGCTGGTGAGCCGCACCAGCACCACGCCACCCAGCGGTGGACCCCCCTCCGCCCAGCGACACACGACATGTCGCATGCAGGGTGCAGACAGAGATGCCCCGCACGCTGCCCGCCCGGTACCCCTCGCCAGCTGCCCGCAGCCTGCCCGCAGCCAGCTCGCCCACTGGCTGGCAAGTCAGGCCAGCCGGCCCGGCGGTACCGCACCTGTCGGGCGGAAAGATGAAGGGCAGCTCCAGCGCCTTTGGGGGCGCCAGCCGCTGCATCCGCCTCCAGATCAGGCCCAGGTCTCGCAGGACCGCAGCCTGCTCCACGCGAGGTACCTTCACCACGCTGACGCAGTACAGCGGCGTACCGCCCTCGCCCCCGGCCGCGCCGGCCCCCTCACGGCCGCCCCTGCCGCGCTGCGTGCGGCCGGCGCTGGCACCCAGCGATGCTGGGCGGCTGTCTTCCGCCTCCTGCCTGGCCTGCTTGAGCTCAAGGATGGACACAGAGGCCTGGAACCACACCTCCGTCTTGCCCTTCATCCGCACCTTGATGCCCGGCGGCAGCCCGCGCGCCCAGCCGCGCCTGCGCCCGGCGGAGGCCGGCACGGGGAGGGCCAGTGGCGCCGACCGCGTCCGCCCTGGTGCCACTGCATCGGCCGCCGCCGCCGCTTTGTCGTCCTGCTGCTCAGCGGCAGATGGCGCGGGGCGGTGGCGGGAGAAGCGGGCGGGCGGCGCAGCGCTGGCCACGCCCCTGGAGGCAGCCGCGGCGGCCGCCTGTGCGGAGGTGAGCTGGGGCCGAGCCTCCTCCTCCTCCTTCTCCTCCTCCTCCACCTCCTCCTCCTCATGGCTGTGTGTAACTTCCTGCAGGTCAAGGCGGCCTCATCAGCGGTCAGTATATCAGTAGGGCACCCCCCCCGCCGTGCGCCAGCCACATCAGCGTGCCTTATTGCCCCTGGCAGCCCTCTCTTCCAGGCCCTGCTGCCCGGGCGCTGCCGTGCACACTAACCGCATCGGCGGTGCCAGGCAGCAGCCGCTCGGGCTGCTTGCGCTTCCTGCCGCTCCTGCGCTCGCTGCCGCCGGCGACGCCCGGCGCCCCAGCTGCGCCTGTGGCTGCCACTATTGCTGTCATGCCTGTGTTGGCCTCCTCCTCCTTTCCCATGCCCGCCCCCGAAGCAGCTGCCGGCGCGTCAGCAGCTGCTTGGCGGGCGCCAGAGCATGCATCGGCGCCCGGCTTCCCTGCCCCAAAGCAGCTGCCTGCAGCACCCGTCGTGTGTGCTGCAGCAAGCGTTGCCGGCCCACGAAGCGGCTGTGCCTCGTCGGCTGCGCCGCCCCCGCTGCCCATTGCCTCCATCTCGGGGCCGCTGGATGTGGCGCAGCCGGAACCGCTCGCTCCTACGCCTTGACGTGCTGAACCGCTGCTTCCCGCCGCGTGCTGCTGCAGCGCCGCGCCCAGCTGCTGCAGGCTGCAGCTCTCCAGGGCATGCTCGTCGAAGCCCGCACCGTCCAGCAGTCCAGAGAAGCAGGAGCTCGCAACCGCGGCTGCAAGCCTCTGGCGCTGGCGCGTCTGCCCAGCCGGCGCCCTGAGGCCGAGGCCGCCCAGCCCCGCCGGTGGGCGCAGCTCCCGCTGCTGCTGCGCGCTGCCTTTGGTTCGCAACAAGCTGGCAGCCGCGCCGGCCTCGGAGCGCGCAAAGGGGCCGAAAAGCTGGTGGCAGGCTGAGCCAACAGTGACAACCCCGACATGCCAGCCTCCCTCGCCCTCCACCACTTCCACCTTCATGCTGTCCATGGCTGCATGACAGGGCCCAATGCAGTTTTGGTATCGACAGGCGATTATGGAAGCCCGACAGTCCTGTGCCCTGTGCATCTATGACACCTGCCACCTGGCACTGGAAAGGTGTAAAGGCCCGCAGCGCGCCTCGGATTGCGAGACTTGGATCGTGGCATCATGGAGCAAGTCGAGGTGATGCCAGACACCGCCAAAGAAGGCGCCTGGGCGGTGCGGGTCCACCGAAACGGCGAAATGCAGGAGCTGGCGTCAGTCAGCATCGAGCCAGTAGCCCAGGTGCGATCCCACAGAGCGCTGGCGGCCCCCCGTTCGCCCGAGCGTCGGGGTGCGGCTTCCCGCCCGCCGCAGCCCGCTCCCTCCCCTGTGCACCCGCCAGCCCCTTGGTGCCCGCCCCCATGCCTGGGCGCCTTGCCAGACCCTGGTGCCCGCTCCCATGACTGTGGTGCAGCACATTGCCGACGTCCTGCTCATCAAGCTGGCGCTGGATGCCGGGTCGCCGCCGCTGGCACAGCTGCGCTTGCACCTCCCGCTGGCCGAGTATGAGGGCATGCTGGAAGAGATTCGGTCGGAGAGCTTGGAGGCCATCATGGATGCCATGGCTGTGGTGGTGGAGGATGATGAGGAGGGCGGGCAGGCGGAGGCCGACGGCAACGCGGAGGCGCCCGGCAGCGCCGCCGCGACCGACGGCGGCAGCGCCGTGGCGGGGCTGCGGCCCGCGGCGGGCGGGGAGCTGGAGGTCCTGGCTGGCGAGGGAGCAGGCGAAGGTGGGGCCCCCGTGGCAATAAAGCAGGAGGCGGCCTCCGATCAGACGGACGTGGCGCTCCAGCTGGCGCCGGCAGCCAACGAGCAGGCGCATGCGCCGCCGGCCGCACAGCAGGAGCAGCAACAGGATCAGGAGCAGCAGCCAAAGCAGGAGCAGCAGCTAAAGCAGGAGCAGCAGCCAAAGCAGGAGCAGCAGCTAAAGCAGGAGCAGCAGGAGCAGGAGCCTCCGCCGCCGCCGCCGCCGCCGCCGCCGCCGCCGCAGCAGCCGTCCCCACGGCAGCAAGAGCAGCACACGGCAGCAACGAGCCGGCGGCGGCAGCCCGCCTCCTCATCACCCCCATCCAGCGGCCAGCCGGGCGGGGAGGAGCAGAAGCAGGAGCAGGCGCAGGTGCAGGCGGCGGCGGCGGCGGCGGCGGCGGCGGCGGTGGCGGTGCGTGTGAATGACAAGAGGGATGAGCTGTTGGCGCGGCGGTTGCAGCTGGAGCTGGTGGCTGCTGAGCGGTACGGCAGCAGGCAGCGGCGCAGCGCGGCGCCCACCCAGGGATCCCTGCAGGCATGCCGCCACCCAGCCTGCCCCTGCTCCCGTGCACCTGCTACCTTATACCTGCTACCTTGTATAGCGCTCCGCTGCTGCCTGCGCGCTGCGCCTGGCTGCCTGGTGCTGGGCTGGGGCGGCTCCGCACCGTGCCGTCTCCACTGCTGGCCCGCCCTTCCTCTGCCCCCTCCCAAATCGAACTGGCCTGCAGGTGCCCTCCTCCCGCAACTGGTCCGGCATGCCCGCAGCGCGGCGCCAGCAGCAGCAGCCCGAGGGCGGCGAGGCGGCGGTGGATGGCGGCGGCAGGGGCTCGGAAGGGGCGCCCGCCGGGCAGCAGGCGCACGCGCAGGCGCAGGCGCAGGCGCGGGAGGCGGCGCTGCCCGAGTTTCAGGGCGTGGTGCGGAAGGAGGGGGAGGTTTTGCGCTGGCTGGCCGCCATCACCGCCCCGTTGGATGGAGAGGTGGGTGGCGGGGGCCGCGCGGGACGTGTTGGGGCACTAGGGGCGGCAGGAGGTTCGCCGCTGGAGGTTCGCCGCTGCTGTGCAGGCATCAGGTGTGTGGGGTGCGATCGGCCCGGTTCCGCGCAGCCGCTGCCCGGTGCGCGGCCATGCTGACTGCCCCTGCGCCGGGCAACCTCCCTCGCCTTGCTGCAGGGGGAGCCGGCGGTGGCGGGCAAGCGGTGGAGCGGCACCGTGTGCGACTGCGGCAGCCCGGAGGAGGCGGCGGTGGCTCGGGACCTGGGCCTGATCTGGTGAGCGGCTTGCGGGCGGCTGAAAGTGCCGAGCTGCCAGCCAGGCATGCCGGCGCCTTCCGGTGCCAAGCCGGCTTGAGAGGGCGCGGCTGCTTGCCAGTGCGCTGCGCCGCCCGCATGCACAGCGCGCAGCGGCAGCCGACTGGCCCTGGTGGCGAGGACGGGGCACGCGCTGGCGCTGGCGCTGCCTGCCCTTTGCCTGAACCTGCAGTGCTTGTTGTGCTGTGCTTTCTTCCCTTGCGCCAGGCGGGAGCAGCGGCTGGGCTTCCTTCGAGCCGACCTGGCCTGGCAGCCTGAGGAGCACAACTTTGAGAGGGAGGGGTGAGCCCTGGAAATCCACTCTCTCACTTGGGTGCCAGCTCAGCGCCGTGCCAGCACATCCCAGATCTGGCTGACTGGCTGACTGGCCATCTGCTTCTGGTCAGGAGCCGGGGGATCCTCACCCCCGCCTGCCCACGTCGCACCGCCAATCCACCGCTGTCTCCCATGCCTCCCATGCCTCCCCGGGCTCCCCCTCCCTCTGTTCCCCACCCCCTGCGCCCCGCAGCTACCTCGCCTGGGTGGACGTGACTCCCACCTTGCCCCGGTGCCGCACCGTGTCGGACCTACGCGTGGTGCTTTCCTCCCTGCGAGACGGCGGCACCCTGGCTGAGCTGGCGGCCAGCCTGGAGCGCAACCCGCTCAGCCTGGCCATCCCGCCGCCGCCGCCCGAACCACTGACCGAGGTGCGTGGCTGGCTGGTGTGGCTGGCTGGCGGGCCGCCATGCCGCGGCAGCAGCTGTCGCTGTCTGGCAATGTGGCCGTCGGCGCCTGCGCTGGCCGCCCACCTGCCTGCCTGGCGCCTGCTGCGGTACAGGCCTCCAGCGGGCGGTACCGCTGGGTGCACAGCGTGCATGGCCACTCGCCCAGGGCGCCCTGGCGCGCGACACTGGCGCTGCGCCAGGGAGGCATCAGGTCGGTGGGAAGCTTCCCGACGGTGGCGCAGGTGGGCAGGCGCAGCGGGGGCTTGTGTCTGTGTGTGGCTGCGGGTGGTGGTGGTGGTGGTGATAGAGTGTGAAGGGGTGTGGCAAGGCGTTGCCGGCTGAAGGCATGGGCAGCCTGCCATCCTCCCTGCCCCGGTCTGCATGCCCGCCGGCGGCATGCCTGCTGGCCTGCCTCCGCCGCGACACGGCTCTCGCCCCGCGCCTGCCCCGCGCGTGCAGGCGGCGGCGGCCACTGACATGGCGGTGATCTGGCGGGAGGCGCGGCATGGGCAGCAGGGGGATGTGGAGCGGCAGCAGTACAACTTTCCGCTGGACGGGTGAGCAGTACCACTTCCCGCTGGTGGGGGGGGTGGCAGCGCCGCGCATGCGCCAGGTGGCGGTGGGCGAGGGCGGCCCAGGGCAGGCACCCTCCGCCGGATGAGCGATGAAGCGCCAGCCCTGGCCTCGCCAGCTCCCGCTGCCCCATCCCGCCGGCTGCCCAACAGCGCGGGGCCCGCGCCGCCCAGGCTGTACCGCCCAGCGCGAGCACCGTGGGGAGCCGTGTGCCTGCGGGTCGTGCCCACCAGGGACGCTGCCATGTGCCTGCTCCTGCCCCGCGCAGGTACCGAGGCGTGGAGCTGGTGTGGAGCAGGCTGGTGGCGGCAGACAACGAGCGGGACCTGCGCATCCTCTTCAGGTGGGGCGGCTGGGTGGCTGGGTGGCTGGGTGGCTGGGTGGCTGGGTGGCTGGGTGGCTGGGTGGCTGGGTGGCTGGGTGGCTGTGTGGCTGGCTTGGCTGGCTTGGCTGGGTGGCTGGGTGGCTGGGTGGCTGTGTGGCTGTGTGGCTGGGAGGCTGGGAGCGGGTGGGGGTGGCGGGAGGGCATGCTGCGCAGATGGCGCACTGGGTGGCTGGGTGGGGCACATGCTGAGAGGAGGCAAGCGGCTGCCGGAGGCGGCTGAGCAAGCACGCACGCGTGCAAGTGCAGGCGGCGCCCCGCCTTCCACCCACCAGCCCCCTGCCCGCCCCGCCTCGCCCGCCGGCATGCAGGAAGCTGCGCGACTGCGGCTTCCTGGAGCGCATCGTGAGGCAGCAGCGCGGGCAGCCGCCGCAGCAGCAGGGAGAGCCTGCCCTCGAGGGGGCGGCGACGGCGCCCTCCGCTGCCGCCGCCGCCGCGGAGCAGCCCCACAAGAAGCGCGGCAGGCCGGCCAGCGGGGCCGCCACGGCGGCCGCGCGCCTGGCGGAGCGCGCAGCCAGCAGCGTGGGCGCCAGCTCGGCTGCGGCTGCGGCGGCAGCGGCGACAGCTGCGGCTGCGCTGCCGGATGCGCCTGCCGGCAAGCGCAGCAGGGCCTCGGCGCTGCGCTCCGGCTCCCCGGCCGCGCAGGCAGCTGCTGGCATGCCCGCAGCCAAGCGAGGCAGCCCGGCGTCTGCTGCGCCCGCGGCTGGCGCCAGCCCCGAGTCTCCCGACCTCGTGCCCCTGCTGGCCGCGCTGAGCCAGGCGGCCAGGACGCCAGGCGGGCGGCAGGCAGGCCTGAGCGTGGAGCTTGCGGCGACGTACCTGCCCGCGCTGCAGGCCCGCAGCGTGGGCCAGCAGCGCCAGCAGCTGTCCTGCCTGCAGCTGCTGCTGGGCGAGCGCGAGTATGGCGGCGTGGCGGCCATGCTGCGGGCGGCCGTCAAGATGGCACGCCTGGACTGATGCAGGGGCCTCGCACGGCGCCAGGCCAGGCCACGCCGGCGGGATATGAAGGCCTCACACTTAAGCTTGCATCCCACCGTGACGCGGAGAGGAGAGCGGCGGCTGCCTTTCTTGTTGGCCTCCCAGGCCCCCACCCCATATGCGGAGCATTTGATGCTATGTGTGTGATGCCAGGGGAGCAGCCCTGGGTGTGACTGCGTGAGGGGGGGTGCTGGGTGTGTGGAGGGGGGGCCCTGTGAGAGAGGGGGGGTGAGTAT